TAAATGATACTATAATCCAAAATTCCTTTGCTTTATATTCTGCCACAAAATATGCCAGGGTCACGGGACACAGAAAAGCGGCACACATGTTTACCCTAGGATTCAATAAAGGTAATATGCGCCTGTTTTATGTTTTGTCTTACACTAAGTGTTTTGAATGGGATGGAGATTTTTTCAGATAATTAGTTTTTTTTCCATTGTGGAACTGCTCTAAAAGTACCAAACTCTCTTTAATAAAGATGTATTGAAAAAAGTAGCTGATAATCCAAAGTGATCAGATTCCCTCATTGTGAATGTGTTGCCCTGTCAGCGTGTTTTAACATCAGTCAGTCAGTCCTTGTTGCACGGTTACCTGAAGACTTCTGTGTGCCCCAGCTCAGCTGACAATAGAAGAGGAGTGTACCCCTCTTTGTCTAACATGTTCACATTTGCTCCGCTGTCTATGAGGATGCTTACAACTCCATCATGGTTATTTTTAACAGCCGAGTAGAGAGCACAGCCCAGCCCTTCTTCACCCAGAGCTCTGACATTATCTGTGGTTTAAAAAAAATATAGTGTGAGCTTGCATGTTTGCAGGTTGGTGCTTTATTTACAGATAACACCTAAAAAAAAATAAGCATGGTGATACAGTAGCACACTTATAGATGTTAAATATCATCATAGTATTTTGACTCACCAAGCAGCAGACGAAGAATTGATTCTTCATTGAGCTTAATGGCCTTGTTTATAACTTCGTAGTCAACTTTAGCCCCTGCGCTTAGAAGTACAGTCACTGTTTTCTCATTGTTCCTGGAAACTGCGTAAAACAGAGCAGTTTTTTCATGGTTGTTTCTGGCATCGACTGCGGCCCCGCTCTGCAGCAGCATCTCAGCCAGCCTCCAGTTATCTTCCATGGCTGCCATGTGAAGAAACATTTCCTGCGTGCAGCTCTCTGACTGCTTTTTCTCCTCCTTCACCAGGACTTTCACAGAGTTCAGGTGCTCATTTTCCGCTGCCAGGTGAACAGGGGTTTTGTCCTGTAGATCCAGAGTGTAGATGGGGGCCCCCGCCTGTGCGAGGGCCCAGACTATCTCACTGTGACCCCTTCTGGCCGCTCTATGAAGAGCTGTGCGACCCTTATTATCCTGCAGGTCCACTCTGGCTCCTTTACGGATCAAGAGCTCGATGATGGACAGGTGACCGAACTCAGCAGCTAAATGTAACACAGTCTCATGGGAGGAATTCATGATGTTAATATCAGTGTCTTCTAACAGCTCCTCCAGCATTGCTAGCTCCCCATCTGTAGCAATCAGGTGGATGAGATTGTCTGGTTTACTTTGTGCTGGTTTATGCTCCTCTGATTTTGGTACAGGGCTTCTGTCTTCCTTTTCAGGGCTACATTTTTTAGTTTCTTTGGAGACAAATAAATAATGAGTCTTCTGAGTGATAATTCTATCAGTCATTTTATCCATCCCCTCCTGGTCCCTCTCCAGCAAATATCCTATCAGCTGTCTCCTTGTGTCTCGAATTCGCTCATTCACACCCCCCACATAGGTCTTGATTCGCAGGTAGAGGTCGGGTTCTGCCAGCATGAGACAAGGATGGAAGAATTTCCGACATGCCCTTTCACCTTTGGCCTCCAGAATGTCCAGGACCCTGGAGTTTTGATCTTTGCGAGTCCTGATGGTCAACACGATGGATCTCTTCGCTGCTGTCATGACCCCCTCTGTGACGAGAAGATCCAGTAGATCCTCAGTATGTGAGATCCCATAAACTAGATCCCTTCTCTTTGCCCGTATTACATCCACAGCATAGGGGTTGATGTAGTTTGATGCTGCTTGAGCATCAAAACCCTTGAGTACGTTGAACATACTGAAGGTTTCCTTAAGCCTTATACGCAGCAAGTAATTGTTATATGTGGTTCTGGCCGTGTGTGTGTGTGAGTTTTACCTTACTGCTAAGTGAAACACCTCGCCCTAGCAACAAAACACAGAGAGAGGCCATTCATCATACAGATCTGTCCAGCTCAACCTGCCCTGGGATTATGTGACCAACTATCTATTGTTAGCTTTCATGCTGTAATGACAGTAGTCACACAAAATTGTTAAAGTATAATTTGAATAATCATACACTGTTTCTTTGATCAGTGTAAAATTCTCTTATTTTATCTTATTTTATCTTTTTTTTTTACTTTTGTAAACAGGAACGACAATAACAGGTTTTGAAACATGGCTGTTTCAGGTGTGCATGCGCGTGTGTGTGTGAGAGAGCGAGAGAGAAGATAGAATAATAGAGCATGCATGTGTGTGTGTGTGTGTTTGTGTGTGTGTGTGTGTGTGTGTGCGTGTGTGTATGAGAGAGAGAGGGAGAAAGACAGAGCGAGAGAGAGCATGCATGTGCACGTGTGACCATATGTGGGTGCAGAAGCGGTGCACTCCCTGGATAACCCCATTCTGAATCACACCTCTATGCGACAAACAGCAGTGAGATGTCTGATAACCAAAGCCCTCTTTTAGATGCTTGTGCCATTTTGCACCAGACACAAACCGAACATTTTCTTTGAAGTTCTTTATTTGTGTCAAACATGGGTCAGTGGTGAAAGATGGATGATTTGCTTAAGTAAATGCACAATAAAAATACTCCAAGTAAAAGTCCTGCATTCAAAATCAAATTGATTCATAAAATGATAATATTAAATTAATATTTCATGACTGTATGACATGCATTTACGTGTAAGCAGCATTTTAATATTGTCGGTGGTTCAAGTAGCCTACAGGTAGATCTATACAAGCCTACTTTGTAACACTGCATTGTAGTTTACATGATGGTGATATATTTTAATGTAAAACCTTAATCTGCAAAGCAGGCTAAAGTTATTTTCAAGCAAATGTAGTAGAGCAAAAATGTCCCTCTCGGGTTTGTAGTTAACTATAATAGAGTAAAGTTTATGTAGACCTATTCAAGTTATAGCCTACAAGTACCTTAAAAGTGTAGGTTACTTAATAAAGCCCTTGAATGTAGTCATGACAATGTCATGTTTGTTGTTATTAACAATGCACCTACGGTTACTAGAGATTTAGATTAAGATATTGGGTTTTCATTGCGATGTTTTATTTATAATTAAATTGTATTTGTTTTACATCCAAAAGGGTATGTTTTGTTTCCGTCGTAATCGTGCCATTGATTTGCCCCTGCTGACTTCTCAGGACCGTATTATGCAGAGATTACAGGGTCGATTCACTTCCCGTAATACACGCCTACTCCGTCAGGACGCGATCTCTCGAGCGTTGCCTCTCCTTATATGGTAGGGAAGGACTCCTCTTTCCGGAATGATGTCATGATGCGCCAAGTTTGAGAAATCGGGAACAGGTCAAAGCAGATGTATAGAAAAAGTAGAGTTCCCGTTGTAATGAAACATGCACAACAATATTTCTATCCTGTCTGGACCCAACAAACGAATAAGGCTACAATAAACCATTCATTTTCTGGTTTCTCATTTCATTGTTTATAATCGATATTGAATCAGTCTAATGCCATTTTATTTTTTAATGAATTGATTCAGATTAAAATTGACGAACAGTTGAATTAGCTGCATTTAAGTGTCAAACCATGTTGTAAAAATCTCCAATGTGGATTTATATGTATAAAGAGAAGAAAAAAGAAGCACACAAAAAATAAAAGACATGAAAGGGAAAAGTTGAAAGAAAAGGCAGAACACATCGAACTGGCTAATAAAGCATAGGCTACTGGTGTCACTTTATGCTTGATCGTGTATCAACATCCTTCAATCCTGAACGACCTATTCTGTTTCTTTGACACCTGAAATCGTGTTAATTTAAGCACAGGGCAACAACTGATGAGCCAAAACAACAGTGGAGGCAACATGTTAGTTCATCTCTCAGGTAAATCAGTCTGTGTCGCCCTCTAGTGTTTCTTCATACACACTGGTAGTTCACAAGTGTTCAATGCTGTACAACCTGTATGCCATGATTGGTCTGTGCCGTCACATTCACCTGCTGGAATTAGTGCCTGTGCAGGAATGAGGCTTTTTTTGTTTGCTGGGGGAAATAAGTCAAAGTAATCTTACTTTTAGTAGTAGATCTATACAGCCCACATCTGTTTTTGTACTTCATACATTTGAGGTATATTTACATAATTAAAGGATTTGACAATTTAAAAAAGTTTCTCGGTCATAAATGGAAATTTTGGAATAGGTTTCCCAGCATTAATGATGGAGACAAATCTTTAACAGATTTAGCAAACACTTACAGCCTGTCAGTCCCTGAATTGAAATGTCTGTCAACAGGCGCATATATTGTGTTTTGATTTGTTGGTGTTGGAGCTATCCCTTTGTTTGCATTTTGATTATTGTTTGTTTCTTTAAGTTACTTTTTTTCCCAAAATATACTCCCATGAAACCACAGTGGTACTTTGTATTGAGTTGATATTCAGTCATGTGTTGTCTGTGATGATAGCCTGTATCTATTCATTTGCAATATATGACCTAAGACTTTGTTTCCACATGCTGGGGCTTTCTTTATTAGCAACAGGACATGAATTAATGTTGAAAGCTGAATGGTGCAATGACATGCAGAATTTCCTATTGTGTGTCAAATTAGTGATACCTTAGATATACTGCTCAGTTTAATCTGTTGTAACTCTGTAATAGTGTTAAAGCGTTGTACTTATAGTGTCATAATGAAAGTGGAATGAAACACCTGAGAACAATACAATATCTATAATCTTCCTGTAGGTTGTGAGAGCTGAGACAAAGTGGAGATCTCAAGGGCTACAACCCCAACTTGCAGAACTGGCCTCCATCAGGAGTTAAGTGAACCTGGTCTGCCAACTGAAATACAATCACTTAGCCTGGATCAATATGCCACTAATGGAATTTACCTTGAGGCACTGGGAACTTGCAGGTCTTGCAACATGTTGCAACATGTTTTATTATTTGAGCTCCTGACATGGCACACCCACTCCCCCCCTGTCACACACTTACAAGAAAATAGGCAACTTGCTTCAGTTTATCTGGTTTATTTTCTTAAATATTGATTAGTTTCTGAAGTGCTCAGAGAATAAAACATAAAAAAAAAAAATTATACAGTATTCTTATTACAAATGGTAAACATAAGTACTCCAAGTTTATCTTATATACATATAACAATGAGTGAAACCCCATTAAACAGATTTAGAAAAAAAACAAGTACATCTTGAAGCTTTTCTAACTGAATCTCTTACAATTAAGAAAAAGTACATTGTACTGTAACTAAGTCAGGCAGCTTTTGTTACAACTTTTCAGCCGTTTAGAGTTGGCCAACACGCCCACGTTTGAGACCATTAGGGCTACAGCAAGAAAAGTCTCTATTGCAGGTTCTTCGATCTTCTAATACTGAATTTCTCCGTTGGTGGTCATGATAAGGTCCATGCAGAGCTGGGTGTAAATCAAGAAAACTTTAGTCCTGTCCAGTTCTGTGAAAACAGCACGAAACAGAAAGGTATCCTGCTTGCTGCCATGCCCATCTAGTACTGTCACTGTCCCGATCCCCTCTCTGGGACGCGCCAAGGGGGGAGCGCGTTGCACTCCTGGAACTTTAGCGCGGCCCCTGTCCTGCCAGTGTCGCGCCACATCATCCCAACCCCCCCTCCCCCTCACGATTCGGGGAATACAGCCACTCACTATCACAGGAAGCGTCCGTCTCGTTCAACCACAGTCTTTCCTCTCTCCGCCGCCGCTGACACCACCTCAGAAGGTCTGGAGCTGCTGCGTTAGCATGAGCTGGCACCCGCTGTTGACGTGGTTCATCACCTTCTGCTTCAGCTGGGCCACCTGCTCGCGCAGCATGTTGGCGGTGGAAGCGAGCTCCGAGTTCTGGGATTTAAGGGTCTTCACCTTGTCCTCCAGCCTCGAGATCCGCTCCAGCTTCCTCTTCCGGCATTTGGAGGCAGCGATGCGGTTCCTCATCCGCTTTCTCTCAGCCTTGATGCGCTCCTGGCTCTCCATGTCGATTGGGGACAGAGGAGGGGTCTCCCCCGGCATCTCCGGCACGATTTGGGGCTCCTCTTTAAGCGCCGTGAGACGGGGGAGCTGGGCGGAAGAGGGCTGCCCGTAGATTGGAAGCTGCGGCGGGGCAGCAGGGAAGGACATAGTCGGGGTTGAGGTGGTGTAATTAGGAGCCGAGACGGTGCTGATGGCTGGGTTGAAAGTGTTCAAGTCCTCATAAACCGGCGAGTCGGAGCGCATGGTGGCGTTGTTGTTGTAAACGGTGGCGCCAGCAACAGATGAAACAGGAGGCAGGACAGTGCTGACACTGGTCTGGGGAGCTGAGGTGACACTCACGTTAGGTGTGCCAGGCATGTGCTGGTGGTGAAGCTCGGCCAAGGCTCGGACGAACCCCTCCGCGAAGCCCTCCTGCTCGTCGGTGACATTCTTGGGGCACAGGAACTGGGTCGGGGTCGGCGTGGTGGTGATGAGCCCGTTGCTGGACTGGATGATTAGCCGCTCCAGCTCCGGAGAGGCCAGCTTCAGCAAGCCCACGTCGGGAGAGGTGAGGATGTCGCCGGCTTTGGCCCGGAGGTGAGGTTTCAGGGTGCCCGTCGGGTCGGCGAGGTTCAGTGTCATGTTGTGTTTCAGGGCTTTGGGGTTGCTGAACCCGTAGCCGGCGTTGTCGTGCTGGGAGAAAGCGTTGAGTGAGTCGTCATAGAAAGTAGTTTCCATCTTGGTATACATAGAAGAAAAACCGAAAACAAATGTAGCCTACTTTTAAAGTCTTCAACAAAACAACTCTTCCTCCCCCTCCTCTTCTTCCTTGTTTATCAGTCGAGGAAAAAACACTGGTTTCCAAACGTCCTCTCTGTGCGTGAAAACTTCCAAACTTTGAGTGCGCTCTTGACACAGGAATCAGGACTTACTTCTTACAGCCAACGATGGTCGACCGTTCAGTGCTGAGGTGTAAGAGTTCACAAAGCTTTAGCCACAGTATCCAGACTTGTAGGCTACTGAGTCCGTGAATGAAAAGGCGCCGAGTAGCTATAACTCCTCTCTTCAGACAGCTACCCTGTATGTGGCTCTTTCCCTGCCTGGGTGTGTGTATACTCTGAGCCTTACAGCGTGGAGGCAAACCTTATCTGCTGCCGCTGCCTCTCTAAAAATAGGCATGATGTCATGACGCGACTCTCCCATTGGCTGGAGGGCGTGACGCGGGGCGGGGCCCAGCCCTCCGATAAGGCGCGTTGCCTAGACGACCACCCAGAAGATTCTTAATCTCGCGGTGGATTGTGGGATGAGGTAATGCTGTAAGGAGAACGTAAGCGCGGTGCATTGTGGGATGACGTATTGTTTTTGAATATGTGGTTACCCGCTCGACTGTCAGTGGCGGGACAGACAGCGCGCAGGACAACATCTCCCGCTGAGTCTCTCTTCTCACCAATTATCTTGTTGTGAAACAGCTCTACGATAGGCCTACATCTATTTTCGGTCTGTATTTATTACACTTTGTGTATAGCCTCCTGAAACGTTTTTATACAGGTCGAAGTCTTTAATTTAACCTCATAGAAGCCATTTAAAGCAAGTGAGCTTTTAATTTTATAAAATGATAAAAAATCCCATATTTAATTTTTTTATATTCATATTTATGTTTACAGTAATTGTAAATGACACTAGCCTATTCCCTTTTCCCTTACTACATATTTACACGATAATGTGGATTTATAACAGCCATAACACAGTAGGTTAAATGGAAATGACACTCAATTCAAGTTAACTTAATTAGAGCTATTATGTGATAGGCTACAGTAAGAAATTAGGCTACTCTCACAAAATTCTATTATATTCTGCCATTTAAGCTTTTTCAAGTTTAACTGATTTCAAAATACCATTTTGTGATATAGTAAAATAAAATGGCTCATACAAATTCTCCTGTAATCTATTTTGCAAATCAAGTTTATTCACTTTTAACCAGTTTCAAATTCCCAATATTATATGATATGAGTAAATTAAAATGACCTCCACAATGTTGTGTTCTCTTCTACTCTCCAGTGTTACTTTATGCCAAATCTACACTGCAGCTAATAAATCTGAGCTTTAGGCTAATTTCTGTGGGTTGGAACTGGTTGAAAGTTGTGAGCACCAAAAACCCTGGAAAGAGTGAATGAAAACAGTTATGTGAAAACAAATTATATATTTTTTTTGTGTGTGTGTGCACTCATGGTGGAAAGTCTTCTTGTTCTGTCATTTTGCTTCTCAGTCTGGGATATCATGGTGGTCTCTGGTTGGTGGTTCCCTTTAAACTGTCGTATATAGCACACATACACAAAGCAGTTCCCACATTTAGTTTAATGTACACTGTGAATGCTGAGGGAGTTACAATTTGACACCTGGGCAGGTTAATATAAACATAGGCATATTTACATATATAAGAAATGCAGTAAATCTTATTTATCTGAAGTGCAGAGCCAAGTCCATCTTAATGAGTCGGGTACTTTTACTTACCAGTCTTTTCTTCCCTTCAGTCATTAGGATACAGATTTAATAGGACCTTTCTGCTTTTACCGCTGCATACCACATGTCTGAAAAGCTACATTTAATACCTTTTATTTCTGCTTTAACTTCAAATTGTTAAAGATAGATCTACAGACATCTGTTCGTTCTCATAAAGAGCAAATATATTTCCTTTTATCCATGTCAGTGTGTGTAATTAGTGTAGTGCAGTCCATTGTCCTCTGGCCCTGGTCAGAAATCACAGCTGGTTTAATGGCAGGAGGTTAACCGGTGTGTCTTACGTGTCCCCCACCCTCCCACTGTCTGGGTCATCTTCTGCCCTGCCAGCTTTACTGCCTACTATCTCCAGCGCACCACGTCTAAATATGTCCCCCTTGTGTGACAAGTAAATCAGTCCCCTGGCGCTGGCTGGCTCAAAGAGGCACCTAAGGAGGATAACCCGAAACTATAAAACGCCACCACAGTCTGACTTTTTATGGCTGCTAATGCTGTCTTTATGTACTGTTGTATATGTCAAACCATTACGATCAATAAATTTTGATATAATCTGGTCTAGTTGGTTGATTTAACTGATCTTGAGCAGTTTCTTTTTTGATTTAAATGCTTTAGAGAAGATTGCTTTGCTTTATGGTCAAACAAGGGAAAGGTTAGGGTGGGTCTTAATGAACATACGTAGGCTACACCTTCTTTAAAGGACATTAACAGATGTCTGTCCTTCCAAATGTTGTGGACAAACATATACGGTCTTTCTTATTCTCTCAGTTTCATTCACTTTGTTGTACTTTAATCACTCTGGGGATGAAATAAGGGGAAGCAGAATAAGGACAAGTTGTTTAGTCGCTTGTTTACACTCAGTGTTCCACTGCCACATTATGAAATATTTATCCCCTTTGGCTCATTAATCTATTCATGACTGCTTTTCTTCTGAATCAAAGCACATGAAAGAATCATAAGTAGGTGGTCTAGTGCCCACCACCTGACAGCAGGGATCCTCATGTATGACTTCACCCATTGTCCCAAATAGACGAAAAAAGTTAGAGTAAAACATATGATGTCATTTAAAGTTATCTCATTTAAATTAAAGCCCCTTTCAGAGTCGAATCCCATGGCAAAAGTCAGACCGTGGTAAATTCTGTTTTATATACTTTCAAATAGTGTTTAATACAGAACGCTTAAATGTTTCAATATGGCTGGAGCATTGGATGAATTGGGTCTGCTTTTCTTCCCTGGTCGCCATGCGTAAAGTTATGAAGAGGTAACCACAGCATGGTAGTTTGCCAAAGTAATTTTCTATGGAGGAATGTATGGGAAAATTAGCATGGAGGAACCCTACTGTTTAAGTGATTATTCAACATGAGGTTGGGATATCCTGCTGCTGCCTTGCAGGGCCTGGACATTTGGTCACTTGTGGTCACATACATACTTACTCAGTATTGTCCTTGCATGTCGTAGAATCGAGGCAGAGGACTAGGAAGGAGGAAGTCAACAGTATGAAGAAATATTGCCAAAAAGTAGCCACATGCAACTTCATAATAATTCAAATAAAATGATTTAATTGTAAAATGGATTTTTAATAATTTATCTCATATAAATGAATGAAGTCAGGCTGCAATATTTGAATGATTCAACCCCATCAGTGAAACAAGGAGTCTTTTACTTCTGATTTGTGGGAGACTTGTTGTTCTTACTTAATTATTTCTGGTTGGTGGAGCTAACTGCAGGCTCTCAGGACTTTGGGAAGTGAGGTTTCAGTACAATGGAAAGAGCAAACTACTGTAGGATGGATGGATTGGTAGAGTATTTTGCTACTTTCAAACTATGGAAAAATTTGAATCAGTAATACACGATGATGAAAATAGGTAATATATTACCTTGTTGTTGTGGTGGCAGCCCGGCTGACGGTGAGTGTCCTGTTTTTTTTCTCCTTTTCATCAGTTATTCTGCTTTTTCCCTGGTTTTCTCTGTTCCCTGCCTGCCTCCCTGTGTCTCCTCCCCTGTGTGTGCTCTCTCTCTCTCTCTCTCTCTCTCTCTCTCTCTCTCTCTCCTCTCTCTCCTGAGCCCAGCCAACGACCTGCACCTACATCTCGTCAGCCACCTCGTCAGCCTGCCACACCTGCCTGTAGTCAACCTCATCCCTGCCTGTATTTCAACCCCGGGTCTCCACACCATTCTTGCTTGATCGTCGTTGCTCCATACCCGGTGCCGCAAGTCCCTCAAGCGCTTGAAATCACTGACGATCCTCACATTTCTCCAGTTCTTATTTCTTACCTCCGCTGTCACTAACCCTGTATCTTTGTCTGTTTTCCTCCCAGGTTCACTCACCCCCGTCCTCCGTTCAGTCAGCTGGGCTCATCCTCCGGTCCTCTCCTCCTCGGACCCCCCCACGGCGTCCTCCCTGTTCTCCCTCTCTTCCTCGGACCCTGTGTTCCCCGGCCCTCTAGTCCCAGTCTCCTCTGTTCCCCGTGCCAGTGTTTCCCCGGCATCCGCCTCTCCCTCGACTCCAGTCCCTCACCCCCTTTTCCCAATAAAACCTGTCAAAACTGAACGTTGAATTTGGGTCCACTCTGTCCCCACACCACACCACCCATAACACATAGCAAATTGAAATTTTGACCTGATGATGGAACTAGATAAAAAAATCACCAAAGTCATTACAATTCATCTTGAGGTGAACATACATGTGTGTACCAAATTTCATAACACTCTGTAGTGGTTTTTGAAATGTTTCACTTACAGGCGTCAACCTCAGAGGAAAAGTCAAGGACCCACCAAAGTCATTGGGATAAATCAAGTGGGAACCATGACTGTAAGTATAAAAGTTTGTGCCAATCCATCAAGTAGATATACTGTATATTTCAGAGGATAAGTGAAAATGTTGGAATGCTGTTGGTTCTAGCAGAAGAGTCAGAGAATTACCAAAGGATTAATCCTCTAGGCCATGGATCCAAGAGGTGGGGGACCAACAGACTGATCAACATTTCCATCTGAAATCTGAGAAAATGTTTGTGGTCAAAACATTTAGGTAAACAAACTGAAAACAGAGACATTGTCTTAGTGACATTTAATCCAGAGACAATGATATATATCTAATCTAAAGTTGGGGCTGTGAACGAGTTTCTTCCACATTAATCTTGCTACTCCACATTCTTGACTTTATAGTAACACATTTCAAACATCTTGTTTTGTTCATTGTATACATAGCAGTGGTGATCTAACTCCTTTTCATTTTCTTTTCTCTGCATCTGTGTTTTATTTCCAAGATTACTAATGAACAACATAGACTTTCATACAAACAGACATGTTTTTCAAGTGCTGTGTTCCTGCTTAGCTGCATCCTGACCTTAGGTAGTACAATTGGGTCTTCTGAGTTGTCTAGTCTTTAGCCTTTCCTCCCATTCACCCCTGCTTCCTGCTGAACTTTTTTATCATTACCTCCTCCTCTCTTCTGCCTCTTTTACTCCCTCCATCCTGACATTGCCTCTCCTCTTTTTTCCCCTCTGGACTGGATCCCAAATGTCCTCCACTTATACCCCCACACACTTTGCCTTTCTCTTATCTTTCTCCTCCTGCCTCCTCCTCCTCCTCTCTCTCCCTCCCTGTCTCGTCCTT